TTATCCTATTTTTTTATACTGTTATTTATTACACGACTTATTTTTAAGAATGTATTCTGTCGGTTGACGCGAGCCGCCCTGAGCCCGCTTCTTGGAAGGGTGGGATATAAATAAAAATAATAAATGAATGAATAAATAAATAAATACATAAATTAAAGGTAAGAGGGGCCCCATTCCAATCAGACTATGTCATGCAGTGATGTCATATCTCTGTTCCAGGGACCTCCTGGGCCAGTGGGCCGTGAAGGCCGACAGGGTGAGAAAGGGGCCAAGGTAAGAGAGTTTATACAGCTCCCAGCAGAAGATGCACCTGGGTTCCATTTCTGGGGTTCTGATAACTCTTCTCTCTTTCAGTTTTATCAGTGGTCCCATTTCTGTGTCCCTCAACCCCCCCACCCCCATCATCCCAGCATCCTCAGTAGAGGAATGCACCCTGGAAGGGGTTAACTCCACCCAACACTGTGGGAGGTGAGCAGCAGAAACCTGAACCACACAGATCATCAGATGTCACTAAAATGTGTGTCTTCTTTGTCTTCAGGGGGAGCCTGGCACAGAAGGGCCCCCAGGAAAGACGGGCCCTGTGGGCCCCCAGGGCCCTCCAGGTCGACCTGGCTCAGAAGGTCTACGAGGGATTCCTGGCCCAGCAGTAGGTGCCTTCACTTGTAAGCAAGCAGCAGGGGCATTGATGGCAGATAGTTGGGGGTACATCTTAATATGGCTTCACACAGGCTGAAGAAACGCTAGAGAAGGGAAGGCAGGTTAGCGTTCTTCATCTGTTTGAAAAGGGTAGAAGAGAAGAGGATGGACTGCTCTCGGTCAGTGTTTTCCACGTAGTAGAGGACTCGGAAGAAATGTTCGTTTTTTTCTTTTCGAACTGCAGGCATGTTGATTTAGGTTCAGCATTAGAAAGAATTTCCTAGTGCTAAGAGGAGTCTGGCACTCAGAGGAAAGGTCATGGGATCTTCTCGGTTGGCTGTCTCCCTGTCTTAAAGAGGACTGTTCGAACCGATCATTCCAAATGGGTAGCCATACTAATCTGTAGCAGCCAAATAATGCAGGAATCCAGTGACGCTTCTGAGCAGGGGTTGCCGAAATTTTCTTTATTGAGATCTGTTTCCGAGTAATATGGAATATCCCAAGCTACCCCCACCCCAAACACACACACAACATGTTACCAAATTTTGATCTGTTCAGCAAATTAACTGGGAAGAGCACCAGAAGTAGAGCTATTAGTGTATACAAAAATCCAATGAAATACAAGTTTGTTTGTTTTTTTAAGTCTCAGATCTTTTCTAGACCTTTTCCTGGATCTTCCAGGCTAAGGGCTGCATGGGTTTTTCTGCAGCAGCCAGCAAGCAACAGGTCGTTGCTTGTATGTTACATGTTAGAAAGCTCAGGTTTAGAGACTAACAAAATTTATCAAGGCATAAACTTTTAAGAGTTAGAGTGAACTTCTTCAGATGCCTCACAAAAGCTTGGAGGTGCTGGAAAGTGTCATCAAGTTGCAACTGACTTTGACATTGACCCGGGGTAGGGTTTTCAAGGCAAGAGACGTTCAGAGGAGGCTTGCCATTGTATAGCGACCCTGGACTTCCTTGGTGCTCTCCCTTCCAAATATTACCCAAATATTACTCTGCTTAGCTTCTGAGATATGATAAAATTGAGTTAGCCTGGACCATCCAGGTCAGGGCCACAAAAGTTTCTTTTGGAATAAATTTTGTTAGTCTCTAAAGTAACAGCGTTCCGTGCGCCTCGGTGTTTAGTCATGCCGGCCACAGGACCACGGAAACGTCTTCAGACAGCGCTGGCTCTTCGGCTTTGAAACAGAGATGAGCACCACAACCCTAGAGTCGGACTCGACTGGCTTTCGAGCAAGGGAAACCTTTACCTAAAGTGCCACTAGGTGCCTGTTTGACCTTTTAGCTGTATGTGGGTGATTTAATGGAGCTGTTAACACCTAGGTAAGGGAACCACATCATATTTCAAAAGCAGGTCATGCAGCAATGGAAGCAAGGACATCAGCAAAGAAAGCTCCAGCTTGTAGTATTCTGGTGGGCATGCATAAATTCCCTCTGTATTGCTCCCTATTTACCTACACTGTGACCGATTCCCCACAAACAGCTGTGCCGCCATTGCTCTTCCGTTTCCCCCGGTCATATCGGTCAATTTCATAGTGTTTGCTGCACGGCCAATTTTGACCCGTATCTCCCACTGATTTTCTCCGCGTCTTCTTGATCCTCAAAAAACAGACATGGGGGAAATTGGGGAGAGATGCGGGTCAAAATGCGGCTGCACAGCGAATAGTGTGAAATTGACCAATATGACCGGGGGAAATGGAAGAGCGACGGCGGCACAGCTGCTTGTGGGGAATTGGTCTGTGTTTCTATATGTGGATAATTACTTATCTGCTGTATTGCACACTGGTGCATTTCCCCCACTACCACCCCTGTTTGACTCAGGGATATGTAACAGCCACCCTCCCCCAATAACATTCTCTTCAGGTTCCAAAAATACAATTTGTTACCAGTATTCCCTCTAAGCTGAGTTTGTGTGACCTAGCTCACAGTTTTTTAGCCTCTGGTTCACACATTTTTGTCTTAGCTCAGGAAGAATGGCTCCAGAGCAAACTGATTTATGCCATAGCCAAATTGCTTGCTCACCAGTTTAATGCCAGTAGCTTACAAAGTAGAATTTTTGCTCACAAGACTTCACAGCTTAGAGGGAGCATTGTATTACTAACTTTGCACTTCCTTCCTGTTCCTCCAATAGGGTGAACAAGGATTGCTGGGAGCACCGGGTCAGGCAGGTCCACCGGGGCCCATGGTGAGTGGTAGAAGAGGACAGACGTCTGGTCTTTGCGCTGGACAATCAAATAATAGCCCCCTGGTTCCCCCCCCCAAACATCTGCTACCAGTAAGCCCATTTTTTTCTTCACCACTCCTGAGTAGCTTGTCCTTCTCTTTTCCCCTTTTGATGCATTCAATTTAGAGCGGATTTGCCCTGGGTATTTATTTAATGTGAGGAGATAGCATTATGCACACTTTGAGGGACCGCAGAAAAGAGCTCATCAATGGAATAAGCACACATAATCCCGAACGCAGTAATTTTTTTCCCCCCTGATGGAGGTGGTTCACTTGTTCGGTGTGAGTCAGTGAGTGATGTCACGTTAGCAATCTGCATGCATTGTGAGTCAGCCTTTATTCTCCTTCCAGTAGGCCTAAATTAGCCTAAATCCTACTGCATCCATCTCCTGGCGCTGTGGGCCACGATGATCAAAAGCATACGAAAGCTTGTTGATGCCATTCTTCTTCTTCACAGGGTCCCACCGGACTTCCGGGCCTCAAAGGTGATCCCGGGTACAAGGGAGAGAAGGTGAGTGCATGCCGGCGTTATCTGAAGAGACACCTGCTACCTGGAGGGAAGATCACGTTACACATCTCAATCTCCTGTGCTCCTGTTCTAAAAAATGTTTCTTCTGCTTTCTACATAATCCCCCACACACACCTTTTCACTTTGATCTGTGGCTTGAAGTGAAGCGAGTAGGGGTGTGTGGCTCAGCAACAGATCATCTGCTTTGCATGCCAAAGATTCCAAGTTCAATCCCTGGTGTGACCAGTTAAAAGGATGAGGTAGTCAGTGGTTTGAAAAGACCTCTGCAAGAGATCCTGGAGCACTGCTGCTAGACAAAGTACATAAAGCTGACCTTGATAGACCAGTAGTAAAAGGCACCACGCTGAACAATGAGAGTTAGAAATTATACAGCAGCATGCCAAAAACAATCTATTTGTACAATTTATACTGACTATTTCAACAGTGTATTTTAATTATCCAATAGTAACGTTACAATTCACATGTAAGGCACAATGAACCGATTAACACCAACAGCTGTAAATTCTCACACAAAATGTCTATTAAAGTCTTTCTTGTAGAATATGAAAGCAGGCAGATGAAAGCAGTCAACTCACTACTCCGGACTGAAAAGGGGTTTCAATCAGACTTCGTCAGGACCATGCATCAATCGGAACCAAAGCCTTCATATATTAAATAAAGCAGAGAATACACCTTCAAAGGGGTTTAACAGCTGCCTCATTTCTTTCAGTCTGACGAAATAAAAGGCAACATAGGCAACTTACTGCTTTGTGGTCTCTGTGCATCACACTGGTGAGTTTTATGCCTGGGCAGAAGCCAGTCTTGGAAACTTCTAGAGCTCTCAAAAAGGGCATGAAGAGCCCCTCCGATTCATCATGGAGATATACCACATGTGTTCAAATGGGAGGTGTCGTGCCTGTCCCACTCAGTTCCTTTTAGTCCACTGCATGGAAGACATCTCTGGGAACTTCTTCCAAGTTTTTTCTTCACTTGTGAGCCACTTCGCTTGTGGATACACTGCTTTCCCTAGGTTTCCTCCCCTGGGACTCTGGCTCTCTCTCCTACCATCTTTGTCCATGGCAAAAAAAACCCACCATCTTTTTTGAAGTGCTGGGACTATGGAGGAAAACAGTCATTGACAGATAATCACTTTTGCTGCCTCGTCTGCCTTGGAGAGACCCGACACACCGACACCTGTAAGCACTGCCTAAAGTTTACAAGGCAAGCCACATGCTACAAACAGTCCTGCCTCCATATCTTGTGAGAACAATCACTGTCAATAGTCAAGTCTTGCTGCTCTCCATCCTGCTGTTCTGCAGGTGTCTCTCCTTCCTGTCGATCCAGACTTGTTGATCTCGACACCGCCATTATCACCATATCATTGGACTTGCAGTTAAAAAAGGTAAAGGTTCCCTTGCTCAAAAGCCAGTCGTTGCGGTGCTCATCTCCGTTTCAAAGCCGAAGAGCCAGCGCTGTCCGAAGACATTTCCGTGGTCATGTGGCCGGCATGACTAAACACCAAGGCGCACGGAACGCTGTTACCTTCCCACCGAAGTGGTACCTGTTTATCTACTTGCAATTTCTTGCTTTTGAACTGCTAGGTTGGCAGGAGCTGGAACTAGAGACGGGAGCTCACTCTGTCATGTGGCAACTCGGGTCTCGAACTGCTGAACTTCTGACCTTCCGCAGCCTGCAGTTCAGCATCTTAACCACTTGAGCCACCGCAGCTTACCAGTCTTCATATTGGTGGTCCCAATCCCTTATCAGCAGTCTCCTTGTCGATCCTGGTCCTACTCCCACCAATCCTCAGCTCCTCCTCACTCCTCTTCAGAAGCTCAGGACCTCCAACTCTGAGAGAACCTCTCTGACCACCACTGCATGTCACCTTCTGAGGATGGCAGGCTATGATACTGGCCCGTCCATCGAATCCACACCAACAGCAGCCATGTTAAGGACTCCTGAATCATCATCATCCCCTGCAAGCTCTACCTCCCATGGTCATTCAACCCCTGGTCAAATACCAGCTCCTCACTGAAACTTGAGGTCACCACTCGTGCTACGTCTAAGGTACATTGCCAGACATATGTGGCAGCAGCCCTAAAAGCAGTCATCTCAGACAATCCAGCCTGCTCATTCCACATTGCAGCAAGACACATCATGCAGGGCCTGAGGACCACCAGCTCTCAGCCCCTCCTCACATCTCTTCAGAAGCTCAGGATCTCCAGCTCTCCAACTCTGAGAGAACCTCTCCAACCACCACTGCATGTCACCCTCTGAGGATGGCAGGCTGTGTGTCGAGAAGCTCCTGTGACTAGCTGCTGCCCTGGAAACCCAAGCAGAAACGTGGGCTCCCTCAAGCAGGACTCTATATTAGGGGTCCTGGACTCTGATGGTCATCCATCTGTAGCCTGCTCAGCATTACAACCAGGGATGGGCATGAACTGAATTATGAACCAAAGTTCATCACAAACCTCGGTTTGTGCAATCGGTTTGCCCACAAACCTCCCATGAACTGAACCACTTTTGCAGTGGTTTGTTTGGTTCATAAGAGGGTTCATGGGACAGACATGCTGGCACCAAGGCAACAGTCGGGAACCTTTTAAAGCCGCACCACCGAGGCAGCGCGACTCACCAGTGAGCTCAGAAGGCTTTTAAATGCCTCGCAAACCACAAACTGGGACAAACCTCCATTTTCCCGGTTTGTGCCCATCCCTAATTACAACAGCTCCTTGAGGTTACCAAAGATTAGACAAGCCGTCTTCCGATCCTCCCACTTCTCAGAAAGTGGACAACCTCTACAGACTGCAGATTGAGGAATGTACTTTCCTTTCTACACACGTGCTGACCAACTCCGATATCATCAAAGCTGCTCTAGAGAAAACAGAACAGGCATCCAGTTCTGCTGCTACCAACAAGGACAGCAGGAAACTAGACACCTTCAGCAGAAACAGCTACACCTCTCACGCAGTAATCTTCAAGATTGCCAGCTACCAAGACTGTTTTCTCAAGCTGATATTCCTTTGGGAAGAAACATCCCCAGCCCTTGAACCCTTGCCTGATCCATTATGCTCCATGGCTATAGGGGTGAAACCCTTCACATTACAGAGTGACAGGTGCCTACTCTAAACATGTTGCTAAAATCAGTGCAAGGCAAATGGCCTTGGCCATAGCACTCTATCACCACCAGATGCTGGCACCCCAACTTTCAGAGCACCAGGCAATCCCTCCAGTCTTTCCCCGATCAGGGTTCTAAACAATGAACCTTCCCCAATCGGGATTCTAAACAATGGACAATCATCTTTCTCAGTATGAAAATCTCAGTCTTCCTCTCATTCAAAACTTTCTTCTGGCACCAGAAAGGGATTTTGAGGTTCAGAGTGACTTCTCTCCCCACCATTCTCAATACCTCCCTGCATAAGAAGTCACCACTTCTGACCAATGGGTGCTCAGCTATGCTATTGAATTGGACACTCTACCACCAACCAGTGTCTTTAGGTCCACCCATGCATTTGCCATCCTCTCCCAGGAGATATAATCCCTCCAAGCAAGCAGTAGAGCCAGTCCTTAGCTGTCAACGGGGCCAGGAATTCCCAATACTTCACCGTACCAAAGAGGGACAGAGACCTCATACCCTTTTTAGACCTCGGGGGTGCCATCCACTTCATCAGTCATTACAAACTTCTATTGATCACACTTGCTTCCATCTTCTCTCTTCTATCGTGAGGGGCATGGTTTGTGTCCATAGATAATTCCTCATCACAATCAGGCCTCAGCATTACCATTTCCTTAGATCTGCAGTGGCTAGTGGTCATTTCCAATACAAAGTCCTGTCCTTCAGCCTCTCCACCTTCCTGAAGCACCTATGGAATCACCCTAAACCTACTACCTTCTTTTGGCCTGCAGGTTAATGGAGAGAACTCCCACTTTGAATGCTCCTAATGAATGCCTGTAGGATCAATTCTCGACACAACTAGTGCCAGGGCATATGTCCCATAAAGCAGGAAACCATCAACCATCTCACTGACAACTTCTATTTGCCATCTCACGTACTCTGCTGTCTCTGTCCAATGACTCTTAGGGCTTATGGCCACAACCATCCTGATGGTCCAGTTTGTCCAGCTACGGATGAGACCCTTCCAGTGGCAGGCTCTCCATCACTTCAGCATCCTCAAGGACTCCCAAAACAAAAGACTAATATTCCCACTGGTAATCTGTCCTTCTCAGTGGTTGAGCCCCACACAGGTAAATTAAGGTATGCCTTTCCTATCTCTTTGGCCATCCCTCAGTCTGACCACTGATGCCTCCCACTAGGGCACTTCCTGCCAGTGATGCCACATAGGCCTCCACAAGTCCCACAAGGAGACGACTGCACAGATAAATTATTTGGAGCTCCTTGCCATTTTCAAGGTCTTTCTTGCATTTCTGTCTACTGAAGGGTCAGATAATCCATGTGATCACTGACAACACCATCATGACATATAGACAAACAGGGAAGCACTGTATCCACCAACCTCAACAGCTTTGCATGCTATCTGTGGAAGCATTGATATCTGGTACCACATCCTCCCTATCGCCATATACATTCCTGGAGCCACAAACTCCATAGCAGACTCTTTGAGATGGCAAGGCACTGTGAGGCACTGTGGGTCTGTTAACAATGTATTTGCCCTTTGGGGCCATCCCCACCCAGACTTCTTTGAAACTCATGCCAACAGGAAATTCTACTCATGGGAAGGATACCGCTCTTGCTCCCAAGACAATGCCCTTCTCCTTTCTTGGACAGGAGGTCTCCTGTGCACTTTCTCTCCCCCTCCTCTTGTCCTCAGAGCAAAGACAGAGAGGGACAACTCTGATGCCATCTTCATCTCTCCATTCTAGCCACATGATCCATGGTTCTTGAAGATCCTGCAAATGGTTCACAAAGTCCCCAATCTCCTCTTACAGCAAGAGGGAAGAATTCTGCATCACAACATCTTAAACCTGGTGGCATGGAGAACGTTGAGATCCAGGGACTTCATGTCACAAGGATGTCCTCCTCAGTGCCAGGAAAGCTTCCATGAGAAAGTCATATGATCACATGTGGAAATCTTTCTCCAACTTCATTACAGATGAGGGGGATGAACACTCTTGCTTGTCCGTTACCTGTCGTCCTAGAATTCCTTCTACAGCTATGTTCCGTCAACTTAGCTCACTCATCCATCCACGTTTATCTCACTACCATTTGTGCTACTTGACATCATTTGATGGTGAAATCATAATCTCTCATCAAATAGTAAGTTATGGGACTGGTCTAGCTGTAGCCGTTGATTCAGCCATCTGCCCTGCAGTAGGGCCTGCAACTAGACTTTTCCCACCTATTGAAGAAACTATTTGAATCAATGGCCACTCAGGATTTATAACTTCTAACCTGCAAGAGGGCTTTCTTGGCTGCCCTTTGCTCTGCAAGATGTGTCATTACTGGCAGCATTAATTTCATCGATTTCTACTGGAACAAGGTCACTTTATGCCCTACAATCTCTTCCCTACAAGGTCATCTCAGACGTTTATCTCAACCAAGATATCATCCTCCCCATTTTCTCCCTACTCCTAGTAACAAGGCTTCCTGAGATCTGTCAAGCAGCAGCAACCCATAAACCTTCATGAAGCATCATGTACTTGAAGTAAGAGCTCACAGGGATGCTTACTTTGGGCAAGCCAGTCTTCAGTCATTCTCCTAGGAGCATCTGCACCTGCGGATAAGCCAAAGGCCAAACTCCACTAGTCTTTACCCATCAGTATGATGCTTAGAAACCACAAAGAAATAAAGGCAGATTGCTTACCTGTTCCTGTTGGTCTTTGAGTGATCATCTGTGCATTCAAATGACCCAGCCTCATTTCCCACAGTAGGTAGTATGTTTGTTGGTTGGTGGTGTCCTCAAACTTGGAAGAAACAGAGCAGGAGAGGCACAGTTTTTCCCCTTCAGACATAGGTGGTCTGCTATCATAGGGGGCTTGATAAGTCAACAACTATGCAGGGCTGTTTTGGAGCCTTTATCTGGATAGTTTTAATTCAACACTGGACCAATTCCCTTGTGCAAAATGCAGCATTGACTGCAACAGGAGCAGACTGTTGTATGAATTGGTAATGTGAACCATGAGCTTATAATGTGTACATACATTTATCTGGTTCAGGGCCAAAAGGTACCTATGCATCAGTGTTCTCGATTCCCTTGACAACTGCACCATGTCACAGGATTCCACAAGAGATCTTCTCTCTCTTCCTAAGCTTTCCCTCTTCCTTTCTAGGGCCATGCTGGACTCATTGGGTTGATCGGTCCCCCAGGTGAGATGGGTGAGAAAGGTGACCAGGGACTGCCAGGGAACCAGGGGACACCAGGCCCTAAGGGCGACCCCGTGAGTAGATGAGACCTGAGTTCGGGTGTGTGGGGGGGGAGCATGTGGGGAGGACTTTTGCAGTTTGGCTGGGGGAAAGCCCCACAATATCTTAACATGTGCTTTCCGATAGGGAATTGTTGGACCCCTTGGCCCTCCAGGCCCACCAGGATCTCCAGGGCTCTCGGTAAGTACTACCTACCCTACTCCCTTCTGAATTTTAGATAGTTCCCAAGATGACTTGGCAACTCTGACTTCTGTATAAATAGAGCATGAACTCCCCAGTGCAGTGATGCACAGACATATGGCTCTGTCAGTACCCAAATACTCACTGGCTGTAGAACCCATCCCACCTTAGCATCCCAGTGCCTTGCTCCTGTGGTCTTCCCCATCCTTCATCCTGGTGTATGTTTTTTTTACTACCGTTTAATGTGCTTTTAATATACATATCTTAGTTTTGGTTTTAGTTGCTGTTACAAATTCTTTTTTAAATGTTTTTTTTTTTGTTTTAACTGTTAGCCACTTTGGTGACCCCCTCCCCCCGGGGGCAGGAAGGCAGCATACAAAAGTTTGTAAATAAATAATAAGGGTACCTCGTCCTTGCTTGGCAGCCTTTGTTGTGTCCTCACCACCATCACATCTGGCCATGCGTCTTGTATCGCCCCCCCCTTCTGCGAATCACATCTCCCTTCCCGTCTTATAGCATCTCTCTTTGTACACACAGGTGCCTTTCACTAGTCAATCTCCTTTGTGTTTACACAGGGACCTCTTGGGCAGAAAGGCAATAAAGGCTCCCCGGTAAGTATCTTCAATCCTAATTAGTGGTGTAAGAAGGGCTTGGACCAGAGGATGCATGCACATTTTTTTTAAAAATGCACTCCGCGCTTTTGCATCCAGGGGGACTCACATGCTATGTATGGGAAAGCCTGCATAATTATATAAGCCAATGTAGTATATTTTTCACATGTTGACTGTTGCATAATTAATTTTGCTTTTGTGAGCCATGGGGGGAAATACATAGGGACACTACAGCCCTGTTCTTGCTCAGCTTCCCTACGTGAGATGTTAAGGCCAGATTCTCAGACGAGTGTTAACTTCTGATCTTCTTCATGGTCTGTGTGCAGTCCCACACTTGGGTACTGTGCCTGTACTGGACCTGACCTTGGAAGTTTCTAGAGCTATCTTCAACGCTTTTTGGCAGGCTTTCTCCCGTGCTCTGGGGAGCAGACACCCACTGCGCGTGTCTGGAACTGAGGCGAAAACTGCCTCCCGCTCAGTTCCTTTTCAACTGCTGTGCCACCTGCACCTCACCACACCTTCTCTTTTCACCATTTTCGATGCTTCTCCTTGGCCCTTTCTTCTTCCTCCACTTTATGCCTTTTCTGACTTTGTTTGTCTTGTTTGACGTCCTCCTAATATATATATTCTCCCAGTGTCCGTAAGTCTTCTGCATTTTGTGTGTCTTCGAACTCCTCCCCCTCCCCTCTGTCTCTGTCTCCCCCTTCCTTCGCTTCCCAGGACATTCGGAGTATGAGAGGGGCTGTTTTCCTTAAGAAGTGTCGAGACCAAGAAGTGTCGAAAACCAAGATCCATTCAACTGATGGGCTGGCTCCAGCTTATTTTGCACCCTAGGCGAGGATCCCTTATGCCCCCCCCCCATGCGCCCACCAATTTTCAAAAATAAATGCATTTTAGGAAGAATGAAAAACACAAATAATCAAGAAACTCCCAGAGTACGGGGCCGGGTGCAGTTTGGTGCCCCTAAGGGCCATCCCGCTCTAGGCGATCGCCTAGTTCGCCTAGTAAGTGAGCCGGCCCTGCTGATGGCCACGCCCTGTGCTTTGTGTGCCTGGGAGAACCGCACCGGGTAGACTTTTGTTCACATTTCGTGAAATTCACAAATTAAGCGTGTGAAAACAGAGCATCCTGTCTCGGCACTATGCTGCTGGAGTCTTCCTTCCATCCCCTGATGGCGCAGACTCCCCAGGCCCAAGCTACACTGCCTCCCCCACCACCACTGAGGGAAGATTCGGTTCAGTCAAATGCCTCTGCCACCTCAACCACAGCCAGAAAGAAGAGAGACAAGTCTAAGAAGCGGTTCTCAGACTCGACATCCTTGAGACTGAAGCAGCTGAAAGCAACTCCATCCTTGGTTCTGAAATTGGTCAAGCCCATTATAATCATGGGTCTCTCAACCAATGTTCCCTCTAAGCTGTGGAGTCTTGTGAGCAAAAAATTCTACTGTGTGAGCTACTGGCGTTGTGAGCGAGTGATCTGGCTACTGCATAAATTAGTTTGCTCTGGAGCCGTCCTTCCTGAGCTAAGAGGAAAATGTGTGAGCCAGAGACTAAAAACTGTGAGCTAGCTCAAACTAACTCAGCTTAGAGGGAACACTGCTAACTCAGCTTAGAGGGAACCCAGACTCCATCCACACACTGACCATCCACACACTGATCATCCACACACTGACCATCCACACACAGACTCCATCCACACACTGACCATTCACACACTGACCATCCACACACAGACTCCATCCACACACTGAGGTGACTAGCCGGACCAGTCCGCTGTGACATCATCTGCAGCTCTCCCAAACTCCTACAGCCACTTCGGAGGCAGTACCATCGAGTCAAAAGACAATTAACGTGCCTCCTCGTTCCCTGTCTGTTCAGTCCTACAGTCCCCCGGGGACTCCCTTACTGGATACAGACCATCATCATACTTAGTCAGAACCGACACCTTTACCTCGACTTGTAAGAGACTGCAGGGTTCAATCCAACACTGACATAGGACAGCACTCTCAAGACTGGTCCCACTCACAAGGTGCCCACTACAGATATGCCTGCGACTCGCGATCCCATTCATCCTATGGTCATCACATGGATGTCAGGGTCTGCTACTCCTCAGAATCGAGGTCACCGCCTTGGTACCGACACCACTCTCCGCATCACCACCAAAGATCATATTGCACCCCATCACGATCAACTTCCCGATCCTGATCTTCTTGTCAGTTCTCTAGCAGGTTCCACTCTCGGTCTCCACGGCACAGACATCGCCGTAGATTGCCCTCCTACAGCCCATACTGACACTCTTCACTTCAGCGCTCTGGAACCGATTGAGCTTCCCGTTTCTTAGACCTGACACCTTCACAGCATCGCTGGGGTCACTCCACGCAAGCTCCATCCTGCTTTTTGGGTGCTGCTCCTGCCTCGGCCCCAATATCGAAGTCTGTTACTGAACATCAATCAGTCTCAATCAGTCCCTTGGACCTTCCTGCCTTTTTGGGTGAGATGCCACCATCATCTTTGGAACCGTCCAACATTCATATCGAAGGTTCCAACTCTGTAGCCAATGATGTTACCCATGCTCCACCTGAAACTGAGGTTGCTCAACCAGGTGCTCTTTCTCCATCTGAGGGCTCAAAGGCATTCCTCAAACTCATCCAGTGGATGGTGACATCCACTGTAGATTCAATTCTCCACAGAAACTAACAGATGTAGTCCATAAGCTACTCCAATAAGACTTACTTCCAGCTACTGTGTTACCAATGCTTTCTGCCCACCTCAAACGACTCAAAGAGGCTTGAGACAAGCCTGCTTCCTTCCCATCGGTATCAAAGTGGTATGAAGAAATGTATAAGGCCAAGTTCCTGTTTTGTCACCCACCACCCAACTCTGTTATAGCCCACTCTTTATCCAAGTTGTAACAAGCTAGGCATGTTGTTCCCCCTGACTGTGAAGGAAGCAACAGATCAGTACCATTTACCATACTGTATCATGCTTGTCCAAAACTCTAGCAACCACTGTTACCCGCAGATGCCACGCCTGGCTGTGTTCGACATCTTTTCAGCCTGACATTCAGGCTAAAGTTGAGGACTTGCCTTTTGATAGTGAGGGCCTATTCCACGCCTCAACAGATGAAACCGTGTCCTCAGTGAACGAAAGCAGAAAGCAGACCAGGAACCTTGGTGTTTCTCAACCATCTCCTCAACAACACTTTAAGAACAGGAACTGGAAGTCTTTCTAGTCCAGGCATCAGCGTTCTCCCCAGACAGTGGAAACCTGGAGAAAAGGGTCTCTTCCCCCCAGACAAGCATACCAGTAGACGTCCAGGTCATCAACAGCCAAAAATACCAACCCAGCTGCCTCAGCAGCCTCTGACTCTCACCACTGGATCAAAGAGCCCTGTCCTCCCACCGTAACCCCACCTATAGGAACTAGGCTACGTCCATGTCTCACCGACTGGGAGGCAATCACCTCAGACACCTCACCATCATCCAGGTGGGGTATGCCATAGAATTCATTTTGCAGCCAAGAACTCCCCAATTTGTGACCACACCCCCATCCTGCTTCCTCCTGGAGGAAATACAGACATTGCTGGCCAAGGGGGTGATCAAGGAGTTCCCCCAGTCCCCTCACCATCAGGGATACTCCTCCAGGTATTTCATCATTCCAGAGCAGGATGGGGGCAAGCATGACCACCTGACCACAACACCCTTGTTATCTTTGCTTTGCAACTGGCCAGCAACACTATCAATGCCAAGTTCTCCCATTCGGGCTCTCCACCGCCCCGTGGGTCTTCATCAAGTACATGGCCATGGTGGTGGCTGCCCTCAGGACCCAGGGCATTGCTATCTTTCCCTGACTGGCTTGTAGCCGCTTCATCACCCCAGCAGCTCGAATCCAACATCACGACTGCACTTCATCACCTACCCAGACAAGGCCTCTGTGTCAACACCAAAAGTCTGTGCTCAGACCCACTCAAGTGTTCCAATTCATCAGGGCCCAGATAGACACTATGCGTCAGAGAGCTTTTCTCCCCTTGGACAGAGCTTCCACCATATACACCTTGACCTGGGAGTTTTTCACAACACCTATTCAGCAAGCCAGATTGATTCAGCGTCTTCTTGGCCTCATGGCATCAACGACATCCATTGTCCCTTATGCAAGAATGTGGACGCGACCACTGCCGTTATGATTCCTGCACCACTTCAATCCAATTCGCCATCCACAGTTCATGATACTATCTATCCCTCAGGAGGTTCTTTTGTCTATCCGGTGGTGGGAATCCCTCAACCACCCCTGCCAGGTGTGCCATTTCGCCCCCTGCCTCTGGAGGTTGTCCATAGATGCCTCACTCTGGGGTTGGGGAGCCCATTTGTGAGGGCCTTCATGCACAAGGTTGATGGTCAGCGATAGAACAACAGGCTCACACCAGTTGCCTAGAGCTGACTGCCATACAACTAGTGCTGAAGTCTTTTCTGCCTTCTTTATGAGGTCAGATAGTACAGGTTGCCACCAGCAATGTGGCAACTAAGTACTATGTAAAGAAGCGGGGGGAGGGCTGCTTCAACCAGACTCTTCAGAAGTGTTATTGCCCTTTGGGACTGGTGCCTGCAACACAAAATATCGATGACAGCCATTCACGTGCCAGGAGCTGAGAACATCCAAGCAGATGTCCTCAGTCGAACCAGCTCAGTTGAACAAGAGTGGTCCCTCAACCCGAAGTATCTATTTCCCATCTTCAGGATCTTCGGTCATCCTCTGGTGGATGCATTCTTTTTCTTCACCAGGGGCTATGCAACCCAGAGGTCCGTTGGGGATGCTTTCCTGCATCGTTGCACAGGGGATCTCTTCTGTATGTTCCCACTGTACCCACTAATCACCCATGTCATTCAAGACCGAACATCCTGCATCTTGGTGTAGTGGTTAAGTGCGCGGGCTCTAATCTGGGAGAACCGGGTTTGATTCCCCACTCCTCCACTCGCTCCTGGCTGGATGACCTGGGCAAGCTGT